GAGGATGAATAAAATACGACGTATTATCTAAAAGAATGACTGGTATCACTAAGGTTTATTCAAGTTCTTCTCGCTGCATTATGTGATATATATTCAGCTATTGGTTTAGTAAAGTATAACCTATTATATGCATATTAGTCATCTATATGCACTTTGAGCCCACTAGCTACATCACATTATTATTTTATTTGGTATTATTTTTGTCTTAGAGACTTTAAATAGCCTGAGTACATGTCTTGCATGAACCATGTCATTTGCATAAGATATTAGGACAAGAAAGCATGCGATTACATTAATACCGTATGAACTTGACTCATACCTATATGCGTCTTAGATTATTCTTGAAGTGAATTATTTGTGTAATAGTACTTTCTTGGTAAGAATACTAATGCTTCACTCAAGACCAAGAAAGTTATTTAACTTTGAGGCCACTTCTGCAAATGAAACATTTTGGGCAATACTCAAAAGCTTGAAGACGAAAGGTATGTATCTCTATTATTCGCTTTAATTGGGTTATATTCTGGATCTATATTAGAGGACACCTTGTGTGAGATATATAAGGAAGAAAAATCAAGTGTTGATTATTTCCATATTTTTCTGTTGCAAATGCTTACCAAAAGCTTGGAAGGTAAATATATATGTTTCTATTGATGATTATCCTTACTTTCGCATATGTCATCTTTTTTAATAAGAAAATAACGCATTTGTTATGATCATCGATGCGAGTTTTAATAGTATTTGTTTGACATTTTCTTGCAACAAACATGATCTTTCACAATTTTAGTTTGACACCTCAGTTGAAAGCAGACTTGAAAAGAAAGCATCATTTTTGCATAAATTATCATCATTGGCTTATATGTACTTTAATATTTTTCATTGGATCTTCTCTTGAATGAAACTATGCCTGAGCTATGGGAAGGAAGAAAAATTAATTTTTGGTTATCTTATTTGGTTGCAATTGTCTTGGATGGAGAACTTGCAGTGAATAGCTTGCAATAATCTGCTAATGACACATCCCCAGTTGAACTAGACAGTCGTGAAGAAGCATTAAACGATGAATGTTGTATTCTAGCAATGCAAAATTTGTTGCGAAGCTGAAAGAATCAAAAGTATGAAAATCCAGTGCCAAGCAAAGGAGCTACAATCATGGATATCTAAAGCCTGATAATATTGATAAGGTTGTGAAAATTATGTGTAAGTTTGTACCCCAAGGTTTCACAACAAGAAGGTTTGTTTCTTCCTAGAGAGATCTAATAGAACAATATTTTTCATGTGCATATTACAAAGTTTATAAACTATTTTTGTATGGATTTTAAAATATTTTGAAAATTGCATAATATTATTCTCTAACCTCTCTTTGGAATTGAAGGGCTTTTGAATCACATCTTGTGACCAAGACTAGTTATCACTTGAAACAAATTCATATTTATCATCTGACAATTGTTCTTTTCAAAGATGCATTTACAAGAGCATATTTTATTGGTAATACTAACCAAAAGCATGTCAAGCTTTTTAAAGTCTCTAAAAGATGATCGGTATGATGGAGAATCTACCTTCATCTTCACATTCCAAATAATGCAACGCAAGGAGAAAATTGGTAAGTCCAACGGTCGAATAAAGTACCAAGGTATGACCGACTCTCTATTTTTATGACAAATATTTTGGTATACATGATCCATAATATCTCCTTTTAGTGCCACAAAAGATTTTTAGTTGACTTCTAAATTATGGATTATTGTATGCAAGAACTAATTATTTCGATTTAGTAGGATATTTTCATATGCAAACCTTGCAGGCAACAAAGTGGGACTGAAATAGAAAAAATGGCATGGAGATTTTTTTAATTCTCATGAAAAAGACAAACTAGAGCACAAGGCAAAACATGTGTCATTAGATTGCTTGTGACAGAAAGTATTTGGAAATCTGCCTGGAGGACATTGATCATCATCTTGTAGATATTTCATCTCATTTACGAAAGAAGTTGGTATGGTAATGATAGCCTCGTGTATCCCTTTGGTAAAAATAATTCGTTATCTTGTTATCTCTTTTATGTTTATTATTTGTATAATAGCATGTCTACAGTTCAATTCTATTAGAACTATTTTTAATAGATTCAAAATTGTGTCGTCCTACTCTACGCTTTTAGAAGTCTAATAATTCTCTTCAAATTTTTGAAATTGTTTTTTGTTGACCTAAAATGAACTACAACTTCTCGTGTTTCGTATGGTCAGCAATGATTTGGTTACTCAAAATTTTTCCAACGAAATCAAATATTTGGTATTGATTGCTTAGTGTTTATTATACATGTCATTGGTTTTACCGGATGAATTAATGGATTGTGCACTTATCGAATTGAGAGGTTCTTGAAATATAGATTTTTTAATTGAGCATTTGCTTTATTATTGGTTATAGTAATTTCTATCCTATCCCACCCTTTTGATGATGACAAAAGGGGGAGAAAATAATGTGTACATAAGTTCGAAAACTCAAGTAGAATGTATGGAGACAGGGGGAGCATAACTGAGGAATGCATAAAGTGAGGGGGAGTTCACACTTCATGTACTACATGCATTCGGACAAGATGAATTCAGGAAAGTAACCAGTTTATCTAACTTATCCCATTACTGTTTTTAATTAAGTCTTGATTAAATTTTCTTATTTGTGCTCAATGGTTTGCCATCATCAAAAAGGGGGAGATTGTTAGCTTCAAGATTTTACGTATTAATTTTGATGATAACAAACCAACACAATTATTAATCAAAGAACATTTACTTGTGGTAATCTTATTTTTGTACAGGTTTATTCAAGGAAGAGGATGCTGGTAAAGATCCAAACAAATATGGGAAAGAGAGAATTTATCTAGGAAGTTTATTATGGGAAAGTGAATATCAAATATTGAATGACTCACTACAATATCAGAAGAAGAATCTACAGGATATTATGGATGGAATGTTTTTCAACATCTTGAAAGGAAAGTTGCTATAATCATGGAGAAGATCTATTATTTTGTGGAAGAAAAATACTACATGGAAAAGATACTACAAGACCAAGGAAGAATATATTTTCTATGGAAAGAAAATATATTATGGATGTAGTACAATCTATACTATGGAAAGAGATTATTTCCAAGATCAAGAAAGGAATATTTTCAATATAATAGGAGAAGAATATATTTTCTATGTAAAGTAAATATCTCTATTATGGAAGACTATTTTACAAGATCAAGAAAGGATTTCCAATAGGAGTTCAAAGATGCCATTATTATTTATGGGAAAATATTCTTGCTACATTTCCCCTTTGGTATGGAAAAATAAAATAATGCATGGAAATAAGTTTGAGTTCCATATAAAGAATGACTATTGCTCTTATGGAAATTCATCAAGGCTATAGAAGGTTGAAGAAGATGCACGTGAAAAACTATTGCTCTTATGGAAATTCATCAAGGCTATGGAAGGTTGAAGGAGATGCACGTGGAGATGGAGTTATGAAATGCAAAGTTCTGTAAAGAAGATCAACCACGATATGNGTGGACGTGACTTTGCTAATTAAGGAAGTACAATGGAGCAGCAATCAAGAGGCATTTATGGTATTCCAAAGAATGCAAAAGATCCTTAATTAAAATGGTCCATTTCAAAAGGAAAGCTTACATTGGCAGGAGATATCCAAGCAACGGTCTAGAGATCTGAAAGAAGTTATTACCCCAAGATTGAAGGAAGTAATCATCTAACAGCTACAAGGAAGATTGGAATAATCTTCAAAATTCCCTTGGATTAAGCAATTTCCAGAACAAGTTGAAAGGGGTATAAATATACGAGCTCTATGAAGGAAGAAAGTACGCAGCCTTCTATACAATTGTCTATCCAACTACAAGTTCTTTATTCTACTCTTAACAAGCATTGTAATTCACTTTAGTAGATTTACTGTGTACCCAAAAGAGAGAAGAGAGACTGAAAAATATTGGAGAGGCAGTGTGTCCTAGAGGTTGTGTCATTGTCCGTTTCTTTGGTGAGCGAGTGAAAACCAAAGGGTCGTTGTTGGTGAGCGAGTGAAAACCAACCCCGTCAGCGTTGGTGGTGATCGCTGAAAATCACAAAGGCTGTACTCAATTCAATTTACAAAGAGCTCTAAAAGATAACACTCTTGCAACCCAAGAGGACTGGATTAGGATACCACATTGGTTCCGAACCAGTATTAAATTACCTGGTGTTCATTTACTTTATCGCTCTACGTATTATATTCTGTTCCTTTACTGTTTATTGTGATTAATACTTGTTTAAATCGAAAGAACTAACAGTTCTGTGCAGGCTGTCTCCGCATAAATCGACTAGGCTTGAAGAGTAGTCGACTAGAAATTTAAAAAGGTTACAATTCACCCCCTCTCGTACTTTCAGTAAGTGCTTTCATTTATAATACACACTGCATAGTTTCTCTGTTACAAGCCATTATGTGTTTTTATATCTCTTAACATACTGTTCCACCCTATACTATCAAGAATTTGGTGCAGCACTTTATTGAAGCCATAGCACACATCATTGCACCAAAACATGATTACACATTGATTGCAGAGAGAAGTGTCTATTTGCGGATGGAGTGCTCTACTAGGAATAAATCAAAATTAAGATAGTCATTTCAACCAAATAATGAGGAACAAAGACAACATTGTAAAATGTTAGGGGGGAAGAAGCTGTCAAGTATCTAAATCTTTGTGTAAAGAAAGTTACACACATGTTATTGAGTTTCCTGTCTGACTCGATTGGTACAATAGAATCCATTCACCTCAAGACTCATACATGAAAAAAACTCTAGACCTTTCCCTTCCTCTACCACCATACACAGTGCGTAGGCAATCCTTTTAAACGGTTACATTCTAGTAGTAAGTAAAGTCATTTTGTTTCAAAGTTTGGAATTCATTCACCAAAATAAAAGGAACCTCCTTCATAGTCGATATTCACAGATACCTTCACCTCATCGCCTGGCAATGGTGGTTGTCCCACCAGAAAAGAATAACGCGATAAGTTCTATAAAACGAAATAAGCAATCAATTCCATTAAGGAGTGGGGAAGGACAAAACACTAGCATGATTTTGTCCTTAATACGGTTAGGCTTATTCCGAATAAAATAAAATAAGAATAAATATAACTCAAAGATATTGGCCTCCTCACGATTGGAGAAATTGTTGGATTAGATGGAACTCGAGACAATTTCAAAGTAGGAAGATGACACACTAGAAAATTGCACCATGAGATGATGAGAGTACAGATACAACCATGCATAGACATAAAGATCAGTGATGTCACAAGAAGAAACGCGCAAAGGTTCAGCCCTCCAGTTGTCCTGCTGGTGAAACCAATGGGTCAAGGATATTTCTCCATGCTTTGTAATCGAGTGGTGAGCCAGCATCAGGCAGTGGAAACCCATTCACAAAGAAAAATGGTGTCCCGTATACGCCTTTCACACAACCATACTGTAAAAAATACACATGCACAATGTGAAACATGAAAGATAACAATATAGGATAAAGAACAAGGCTCTGGCGCATATAGGTGATAATTGAACCGAATTAATGTACCTTGAAGGAAATTCTTGTTGCTTGATCAGTTTTCGGGTCAGTAAATCCAGCTTTTATAGCAGCATAATTTGAATTCCCAATTGCATTGGACGTAAACTTTGTAATCTTATCTACCACAGATGCTTTGGACAAGTTGAAAGTTGCTTTGCCGTAAAACTTATCCTGTTCAACCAGACATGAGTTAATCCAAGGCTAAATATATGTTTAGTACCATAATTAGCAACAGAGAAAACAACAGATACCCTATTAACACCATCGATTCCTCCATAAAACAATAACATGTACTAAAATTTTACTGCAGCTGAAGATTTATAGTTTCTGCCTCAGGAAATCTTCTTACCTGTTGACCAAAGAAAGACTCTAGTAATCTGTACGTGGCAGAAGTATTCAACTTATTGATAATGTGCAACGCTCGCGAGCTAATAAATGCATTGTCATGGTATCTGCATATGAGGACAACCAAATAAATCAACCTCATGTCAATTATAATTTTTTCCGAAGGCTGAAATGGGAAACCATTGTCCTACATATTCCAACAATCTGACTCTCAAACATTATACAGTGGTCACACAATTGCAATAGGATATTAGACTAAAAGATCACCATTCATACTAGAAACCATAACGCTTGATCGATGCAGTCTTCTTTTCAATAAACAATGGGTATCAATAAGCTACACTAGCATGTTTATCGAAGTTAGAACAACTGCACAATCTTACCATGCACTCGGATTACAATTAATTAGACAAGTCCTGGAACGAGATGCTACCATTTAACAAATTCAGTAAATCGCCAAATAAACCAGCAATAAAGATAGTTCATTCTTGAACATCAGTTTAGTTATTTTGTAGTGTACATTTACTCATGCGAATCCAAGAAAACGGAAGGTCTATCATAGGCAAATTCTTTCCAAACAAAGGCAAATTCTTTCCAACTGCATCTTGGTTGATGTTCAATTTATACCATGACAGACTAAACTTCTCAAGTTATTAATCATAAACTGATTGACGGTTACCTCTAGTTATCTTTTAGATGACCAGATAGTGTAATATTAATATATATAAGTTAAACTCAAATGCTAATGTCTTTATAGTAGGCTCCAATGCCATTAAGATAATTTGGATTTCAGTTTCTGGAACTTAGAATTTTGAGTTTATGTTCTACGCGACGATAGAAGAAATACATATACACAATCAGGTCACATGACTTGTAAGTTATTGCATGTAACTTTATGGCCGGATTAAGCATTCATTGGTAACCTATAACAAAGAATAACCTAGTTTAACCGGTTAAATTAAACTCATGGCGTAAAAATTCTTTACATTATCAGTATATATAACTTACGGTAAAGGAAAAGGATGGACAACGAGAGAGACACGAGAAGCGTAGTGATTGAGAGCTAGCTTGAGAGGGGGCCATGAATCTCTACTGTCAGGGCACACTGGATCAAAGAAAGCCTCGATCAATATTGAATCTGTTTTGGCTACTCTGTTCTCGTACCAGAATCCATCTTGCTTGGACGGAAGTGAAACCTGAGCACTCACTGAACTTAATAATATTAAAACAGAATTAAGCAGAACAATATAGTTTAGAATATAGTAATACTGGCTTTTCCAGAGCTCCATTTCTTGCAATATGTTCTCTCTGGTTTCAGATTTTGGTTTTTTAATTTTTATATAGTGAAGCCGAAGGGATATGACTAGCAAATTAGTCACAGCTGATGTTGATGCAAAATGTTGAGTTTATAGTACTGTTCAACATCCGTATATAAGATAGTCTAAACGAGTTTATTGTTTTATGACTTAAATTCGATGCTAAAACTTTTCACATGGTATATATCATTATTAATCAACTTTTGGTATGGAATAACAAGTACTGGCCCATATTCGAATATAGAAGGGGTATCTATGAAATTTTTGAAGGTTTATTCTGTCACGCACAAGAACGCATCTCTTTTGAATGGAACCTAAATGTGAGCCGTGACCAAAAAAAGGAAGAAAATATAATTCTAACTTTATAGACTGACTGTGTTAAATATGTCACTTAAAGATAATTATAAGTAATTATTGTTCATAATAAGTGAAATTAGTTATAGGAGCGGTTAATAAAAAGCCAAAAAAACATGAGCATGTTTACATGTTAAAGGGGATATAGTTTCAGAGTTTTGCCTTTGTATGGTGAAGGACAAGTAATGGAAAAGCGAAAGCTGATGATGATAGTGACGAAAAGGAGGACAGACTTAAGAAAACGTCAAAACTTGATAACAAAAAGTTGACGTAAAGGATCAACAATATAATAATGCGTTTTAAAGCTGCAGAGTCCTATCCTATACCCTTTTAAACAACTTTTCTTTAAAAAATAAGGGTTATCTTGAAAACTTTGGTCGAGTTGCTTTCCTATTTTTTCAAAAAAAAAAAAAAATTATCTCAAAAACTATACGTAGATACTTGTTCATTCTTGTGAAGTTCTTCATTTGGGTTAAACACGTTTCCACTTTAAATATAGTTTTTTTTTTGTGAAAATCAAACCCAACAAAAAAAAAAAATTTAATGCAGTGGTATCTCGATTTAATTGTGCCTTAATTATCTGGAAATTAGATCTTGAAAAATGTTTTGGGAAAAAATTAACAGCTTGTTTGCATGGTTGTTATATGCATCGTTTTATATATTTCGTATCGTACTATATCGTTTGATAAATACAATGTTTGGATGGATTGTGTCGTTTGCCTGATATCATGCACCAGCAATATAAAGAATAAACTTGTAATATTATAAAGAAAAATTATGATACAGGGTAAAATTACTATATATAAAGGTAGGCTAAATGATAAAATAAAATTATTTAATAATAATAAATGATGAGATTGAGAAAAAAATTAAAGACAAGGTAACAATGCGACCATACCAAATCGGTCGTTACATAAAGTGACACATTTCGTCATTATGTAACGACGAATTTAGTGATACGATACAATAAAATTTAAATAACAATTAGAACAAATATTGTATTTAAACTAACAATACGATACAATGAGTCAAACTTTGGAGGAGCATATATTGGAAATTTGAGCTGAAAAGCATCGAGCGCGACCTGGACACCATAGTTATAGAAGCAAACACTGAGTAACTTGATAGAACAAATCATAATACAATGATTGTACTGTTTTTTTGTTCTCCAATATCAACGCAAAATGTAAATTCAATCTGCAACAGGATGTACGTCTGCACTTCCCTTTAACAAGTTTGATGAATTAATTCAAATAGTTGTTCACCCAATCGTTTAAATTAAAATTAACCAGCGAATGTATAATTATTATTTAATCTATGTATATTCTATATAATTAGTGTATAATTTATATATATCAGCTAAAAAAAAATAAAAAATAAATTCAGCCGGTTATTTGTGTAAAGACTTCTTTTAAAGTTTTGGAGAAGGCATAGATAAGCTTGGCAGTGGTCAGGCGGGAATTGAAAAATAGCCAGATTTATAAGTGGTTATTCAAAAATACCCACAGTTTCAAAAGTATTCGAAATTTAGCCACTTTTCATGTAAAGATAAATCTAAACGAAAACACTATTCAAAATACGGAAAAATACTCTAGTATAATATACTGGAATAAGTTCCAGTAGAATATACCGGTTCAGCATAAAATACTGGAGATTAGAGCACCGGTGCTCCAATCTCCAGTATATTATACTGGAACTTTTCGCGTGTTGGAGTTCCAACATAATATGCTGGAAGTTCATACACAGGTGCACTGATCTCCATTATATTATGCTGGAACTTTCCACGTTGCAGCAAAATAGTGACTATTTTTCATTGACTTTGCAAATGCTAGCTATTTTTGAATGACCAGTCCGAAAACTGGCTAGCCCGTGCTATTTTTACGGCTTTTAACGAATTACAGGCCATCACAAGGACTGGCCCAGCTCTAGCGATTTTATAGCCCACGATTATTATTTTTAATGGCCCAAGAAAATTTCAATAAGGGTCTATTATTGAATTTGGGCCTACTTGTCCACATCACCACCCAATACGTTCTTGTATGGGACTCCTTCAAAATGATTGCATACGTGTATACAGACTACGTCACAACCCAATCCGTTCTTGTATTATTGTATCCAATGGTAGAAACTTTAATCATATCATTGTTCAATGTCCCACTTTAGTTTCACTTTCCATTCCATCAAAAAAGAGCCAACTTTATCTCTTTTCGTAATGGGAAAAAAAGGACAATATAATCATGCTCGTTGCATAGATCTTTCTTATCTCTGCTCCTCTTTTTATCCCCTCTAAACACTAAACCAACTCTATCTAATCCTTCTTCATTCATGCAGATAAGAACTAGTATTAAAAAAGGATATTACTACAGAATTAGCCGGCATGATTTATTATTGAAGAATCAACTCAAATAGCAGTTCACCCAGTCGTTTAAATTAAAAATAACCGGTGAATATATAATGTATGATAGTCCATATATAACATATTTATAATCGTGTATAATCTATGTATATTGACTAAAAAAAAAAGCAAACAATTGATCCAATCGGCTATTTGTATAAGGATCCCTTTATTATTTTCAACAAAAAAAAAAAAAGAACACTTATAGATATGTAACCTATTCAAGGGGTCCAAGGCACTAAACCAACTCCGTCTAATCCTTCCTCATCCATGCAGATAAGGACTACTAAAAAAGGATCTTTACCGAATTTTATATATATATATATATATATATATAAAAGACTGACTGTTTGCATTATTTATTCATTAGAGAAGGTGGAGTGGTTAATGTGGCCAAGTGAATTGGAGAAAGGGCCAATAATACAATAATACGTCTAATCCATTAACAGATGTTTACCTATACCATTCACTTATAAACACTTGCATATAAAATGGATTACTCTTTTCTTTGGAGTGGTAGGTTTCTCCTTTTTATCACTTTTTTGAATAAAGAGCATAATTTATTTGATCTTCTATAGCCAAAAATTGAGAATCAACCCACTTAATTATTAGTGTGAATTTAGACTTCGATTCCTGAAATTTTTAAAAAAATATATGCATGTTTATACTACATAAAAAGTACTACCATCACAAATTTTTCTGTTGAATTAACAAAAATTTATTAAAGAACTTTATTACCAAAAAATTGTGTTTCTCCGTATATTATGCTCCTATAGTGCCAAAAAATTAGAAGAGAGTATAATTAAGACTTTTCTGGTATGCAAGTTGCTAAGACGAACCTATTGCGAAAACTTTCAGTTTGTGCTAAGATATTTAGTTTTTGCTGAAGCTCCCGTTGCACAAAATAACCAGCCGCATTTATTGTTTATTCGTCCTAGGTAGTATATATAAATTATATATGAATTATAAATATACTAGCGATTGTGTTGGTAACTATTTAAGTTAAGTCTTTTTATTACTCTATTTATTTTTATTAATTTTCCAAAAGAAGAAAAGCAAATAGAAAAGAGATCGATAACCTTTTTTTTTGCTTCTGTTGATTGAAGATAAGGTGATTGAGACGAAACCTGCGATATTGTGATCATGAGTGAATACAAGTGCATGAAAAATGCTGAAATACTACTGAAGTGAGAATATTATCATTTTGAATATACATACTATTATATACGACCATGATTTGAGATGAAGCATCAAATCAGACAGTTGAAGAGGATAATAACACCATTTATAGTGTTCTATGTGAATTATTACTACATGTGCGTGTTTTTCAAACGAGGCTATTAATATATAATGAGTTGCAAAGGGAAAAGACAAAAAAACAAAAGGAAAAGATGGAGACTGGACATTGTTTGTGACTAACAACTAAGCAATGAGCATTAAAAAGAGCAGATTTTATTATTATAGAATTAAAAATAGGGAGGTGATTTATATTAAATATCAGTGTAATATAATATTCTAAATCTGATAGCAAATTAAGTATCATTTGCATACCAAATTATTAATTAATAATATTTATTGTAGAGATTTATTTGTAATTATTTAACAATGTTGGTATAAGATCACGCCCAACTCTAGTCCTATAAGGATAAGGGGTCGCTGCAAATATAATCGAGTGTATGAGTCCGGAGTCGAATCCCACAAAGAACAAAGTTTTAGCTACAATTGTTCTTATCACTAAGAAGAGAAGCTTAAACAATTTTCTAAATTATAAAGATTGAGATTTTATTTCTAACTAATTAAATAACAAATACTAAAAAGCAGTAAACTTATCAACTAACAAGGATGAAACTCGAGACAAGATTAATTAAGGAGGCCTAGAATTATGATTTTCCCAATTTTTTAGAACCCGCTACGTCTCCTATAATTTCGCCTAAGTATTCTATAATGATCGTGAGCACTTCAGGTATCGTAATTCTCTCCCGAGCAACTACAATAATTTACTAGACATATTCTCCCGAACTATGCTAGTTGTCATTATTTTACTGCTCATTATAATCACGTCAAAGCTTTATTATTCTTAAACCCTCCGTATTAGGGGTGGGCATATATCGGGTAAAACCGATAACTCGAACCGTTAATTATTTATTGGGTTATCGATATTGGGTTATTGGGTTAACGGTTCGGTAACGGGTTAAATTTTTTTTTATTGGGTTATCGGTTCGGGCTCGGTTTGGCAATTCTGTTATTGGGTAAAACTGATAACCCAATAAGGATTAACTAATTTACTAGTTTACCCTTAAGAGTAAAACTGATAACCCAATAAGGATTAACTAATTTACTAGTTTACCCTTAAGTATATACATACTAGGGTTTCATAATTCATACTTCATAGTTTACGCTTTGATTTCCCTATTCTTTCTCAGTTTCTGCGCCTCACGCCCTCACCAATCGGCCCGTCAAGACTCAGGCCGGCGTCAGTCGCATCACGCCCTCACCAGTCAGCCCGTCAAGACTCTGGCCGGCGTCAGTCGCATTTCTCAGCTTCTTTCTTTCACTCTTCAATCGCATCTTCACTTCATTTCTCAGATCCATCAGATTCTTCAGTCGCATCTTCTTCACTCTTCAGTCACATTTCTCAGCCGCATTCTTCAGCTTCATCTTGATTCTTCGTGTAAGTTTTTAGTTGCTTTATCTTCATCTTTTTCTTAGTTTGTTTCAAAGCATTCTGGCTCTGGCTTTTTCTTAGTTTGTTATAAAGCTGAAGTGAGATTTGTCGTGTTCTTTAATTGTTGAGTTGTTACAAAGTTATCTTGTGTCAGTTGTTATAAAATTTGTATTTCATAACTAATAAACTTTTTAATCTATATACATAATTCTGTACTAGAGTAAAAAAGTAGATATCAATGTACAAAGAGTTATTGCTAGTCGTTTGAACAAAGAAGATCTTAAGAACACTGATGTTATTTTACTGGCCAACTACTTGAATTAGAGATTATTGATATCATTTTAAGATTTTGGTTAGTGCTTAATTTATTGGATGTTGCAGTAAATTTAAATTCTTGTGAAATAGAACAGTTCTGAAAATAGTTTTAGCAAAACAGTTAATATAATCTTATAAAACTATTTTAGCAAAACAGTTTTATACCGAAACTGTTTTATACATTGCGAAACTGTTTTAGTTGTTTTATCTTATCGGGTAAACCAATAATCGAACCGATAATGATCGATAACATATTAACCGATAACCGATAATCAATATCTTATCGATTTGGTTATCGGGTAATGATATTTGTAAATTGATAACCGATAGGCAAAACCGATAATATTCATAACCAAACCGAACCGGCCAATGGTCACCCCTACTCCGTATTGATTCCTCACATACGTTAGAAGTGACGTTGTTCAACAACCACCTGAATATGTACCCTTTCCTCAGCAATACATAATAAATAGGCATAGTCAATCGATGACCATTCAATCAACTGAAGTAAGCACGTAGTTGATCAAGTAGCACCACTAAGAAATCCGGTAAATACCGACCAAAAAAACCGACCAACTTTGGCGGTTATGGCCAATTACCGACCAAAATGCGACCAAATACGCTTGGACGGTATTTTGATGGTCGTTTTAATATACCAACCAAAGTTGGTCTGAATTTACCGACCAACGTTGGTCGGTAAATTAAATTCAAAAAAAATATTGCAAAAAAAAACCGACCAAAGTTGGTCGGTTTTTTACGACCAAAGTTGGTCGGTTTTTTAAAATGACCGGCCGAATTTACCGACCAAAGTTGGTCGATTTTTTTAATATTAATTTTTATTTATTTTAATTGCAAAAACTAACCAAAGTTGGTCGGTTTCTTGAAAAATAAATTTCGCGGGACTCAGTAATAGTTTCCCGCATTTTTGCGCCAAAGAAAACCGACCAAAGTTGGTTTGTTTTGTAAAAAATTAAAAATGTTGAAAAACTGTCCAACTTTGGTCAGTTTTTGGCCGGTTATTTTACCGACCAAAGTTGGTCGGTTTTTGCCGAATTTCTAGTAGTGTAGAGAAATCCATCGACTCAATTATATAAAAACGTAACAAGAAGTAATCCTATAAGAGATTCCATCAAAACCCTACAATAAAATTTAGCTACTCATAATCATGCTAGTAATCATGTTAACAATAAAAAGTATTAATCTACGAACTAAGGAGGAAAGGAAGAAGAACCCGTGTGATCTAGTGTTTGCAATTGTTCCAGCCGTCTTTTGCCTCCCAAAAAATGTCTAACTCTATAAAAATTAAGTTTGAGAGTTATCTTTATTCTAGGGTAGAGTCCAAGCCGAATAACCAAGTTTAAAACTGACTGGGACTCAAAACTGCTCGAAAAGACTCGACGATGCTAGGGCTATTGAAAGAGAGAGAGAGAGAGAGAGAGAGAGAGAGAGAGAGAGAGAGAGAGAGAGAACGTAGAAGGAAGTGACTAATAT